CCTTCACCTGTACATTTGAAGCCAGCGGCCGTAGCGCAGCATCTTTTACATGTACATGTGCTTGAATGACACACACTTGAGAAGAATCAAAAGCGTTTCTGCTGTAACGAGTTGCACGGTTTTAACTGATCATCAGACAGCAACTAACTTGACTACAATTTTCAGAGATATGACTCAATACGAGCAGCACCTCGCCTGCGTGAAAAGGTTATGTGACGGCTGATGGTGAGAATTGTGAGAGGTAGTACTTATGCATGCACTTGCTGACTAGCCCTGAGTGTGTATTTGAATGTTGAATTAGGTTAAACTGCCAATAATGAAGTACATGTACTAGTATTAGTACCATGGATTCACAATATCTGGTGTTGACCTATAGAAACTCAAACATACGAATGTTCCCAATGCTCATAGAATCCAATACGAGTTGTAATACATGTGTGTACACGAGTACCTAGCACTTAGCAGATCCAATAATAATAATAATTATTACTTTATTAGGATGACCCAAAGGCTGACCGCCTATTGTGTGATAATTATTACAGAGTTTATAATCTAGGCTAACTAAATACATGTGGTGCTGACTGACTGCTTTGGCTGGAGTTGTTCGCAGTCTGTCACTGATAACGTTGAAATGTTGAATGTGACGATAATGAAGACGCCAGTGCACATAGAAAGCATACATGTACTGTAGATTCCTTGACGCAGACACCTAAAGAATGATGTCTGCCCGGATCGTTATCCCTATATCCCGCGGCTGCGATGCATTGGTTGCATGCCTTTCCAAGTTTCGTGGCTGGCTCCAGACTTGTGCTCCCTTCACGAACGATTAGATAATAATAGGCTCATTGTACGTCAATGGTGCTTGGAATCCACATGTACAACGTACAATTATCAAACTAGCCGACGAACTTACTGTCTAACAGTAAGTTGTAAACAAACTTCATCTGTGGCTGTACGTTTTTTTCGGATTTTAATTATTTTATTACACTGTAGACAAAATGAATGAAAAACGTAAAATATTTGGCACCTATGATCAGGGGATGGCCCACGCCTGGTAAAAAAGTAAATAATTAAAGGAAAAAATAAAATTAAAGGTTCTGCGTTCCAGCTCTCCGCCTTATCCGCGAACATAAGAAAACTAGAGGAAAACAAACAAACACAAGAAGCAAGAATGACACGAAAAGCATAAATTATGAGAACATGGTATAAATGAGCACGGCAATCAACCTCAACAGGGGATAGCCACCTACACGCACATGTACATGTACATGTACATGTTTGTTTTGCAATAAGAGACATTGTAAATAGTTCCTTCCGATACGAACAGCCCAAGTTAATGCTTTTTACACATGTCTACAGTCACGATACAATTTTTGTACATAACATTAGAAGTCGTGAAGTAAGTTAGTTGATTGTTCCAACTAGGAACACACGCTTCTTGCCGAACTTGACACTTGACTGACTCACGACTGCCATCCGGAGCACGCGAGGAGCACGTCGCACCTTCCACTCGGCAAACCTGCAAGAAAGCACCCGTCCCAGTCAGTCAAGTGTCAAGTTCGGCAAGAAGCGTGTGTTCCTAGTTGGAACAATCAACTTCATGACTATTAGTATTGCCACCGAAGTCGCAACTTCTAAGTTAACATTAGAAGTGTATTATGTACATTACTTTATGTGTAGCATGTGTAATGCACACCTACGTGTACATGTACGTGTACATTACACAATGTAGGTTTGTTGACGCACTTCAGTACAATCATGTACACTGTACATTGGAGTCGCAACGCCCAAAGAATAAAGGGACAATTACATTAATTTCATGGTCACTTTCTACATGCCTATGTCTCTGCCGGTACACCAGATACATGCACATGTTCTAACAAACGTCTTTTCTAGTACTGTAGTAGCAGTGTAGTAGACAACAGTCTTAGTTCATAGCAACAAGCGCTCAAAATGACAAATGGACATGTACGTTTTAAACATACATGTACATGTACATGTATGAGAGATTGGAATATGTGTCGCAACTCTGAGTTTCATGCACGTATTACTACGATCATCAGACAACTGATGGCTCCAAAACGGGCAGCCTGAACATAAGGGGGAGCAAGGTGAGAAATACTGAGGGGGAGTCATAGTGTACGAGTCAGGTGCAGGTGAGAAGTTGCTCGGTCTTTAAACTGAGGGCTATGCAGCAGCAGCAGTTCCGGTGTGAATAAAATAGAATACGCTGGGGAAGTCCACGCATGCGCACACCATAACAAACTGTAATTAGTTATTAGTACATGTACATCTATAATCACTCTTGCTGGCAGTGACATTCCGACAAATCACTCTGGAAGTCTGGGCTTGCGCGACAGCCAACCCCAGTTATTTGTCGGATTGTTTTGGCACACGTAGTCGTTCAAAGGTTGCTTTGCTATCTCAAATTCCGACCCTTCAGAATCGCCCTGCACAAGGTCAACGACTTGGTTCCAATGCAATGGTAACACGGTGCACTTCATGCTGTTGGAGCTTGCCAACGCGATGGATTCAATCGTCCACACAATACAAATATTTTACAGGTGATGACCGTGAATGATGCTGACTGGTTGGAAGTCTGACCAATACTAGTCCTTTGAATACTAGTCATGTACATGTACACGTAAATATGCCGAAGCTGATCTGCCCCCAACCCCTTCAGTATTTGCTTCCTCAATAAACAAGGCATGGTGATGCAGATCACGGGACAGGTGAATGCTGTCTTTTTTCTAGTAAGTTTCACGCTGAAATGTGTGAAACTTGAAGTAACACATGCATACATGTACATGATTGTACAAGTAGATAAACCTGGATGGAAAGGTCACTGTTTCCGAACACGGTGCCCTCCACCTTGTATGCTGTCAACCAGCAACAAAGTAGTTACAGCTACGCAGCCTTTCACCTCCGTTGTGTACATGACATTGAATGTACATGTACATGTGCTACTCGAAGTACCTCAATACTAGTAGACGGTTTTCATTATTTCACTGCAGTATTAAAAACCATTGCTGTTGTCATTCGTAGGGTGGAAAGCATTCCACACAACTAGTACTAGCTATTCCCAGGCGGCCTTGGCAGCACACGAGAATACTAGTATTCTTGATTCTTGATTCATTTTAGATTGTGGAATGACTGTGAGAGCAGCGATAAAATTAGCGAATCAACGTGAAAGCGATTTGCACATTTCACTGCATGGCCCCCAGGTGGGAAAGAAACGTCTCAGGGGTCGGCTTCTCTTCAACGCTGGGCGCCTGTCAGAACTCTACGGGATCAATTGATACAGTGTAGGGCCAACTGCGTATAGATCTTATACAACACATGAGAATATTTTCTGAAGCGGCCGTAAACAAGGCGGAATCTCGCATATGTATTACACCCTGTTCAAGACCGTTTTCGGTGACATCAGTAGAAATAGGGCATCGGCCTCTTGAGAGGTGTTTTGCTCGAAGGCTGGAACTGAGCACCAGGTGTCCGCACGTGATGGCAGAGACAAGTGAGAATATTGGCAAGTTGCGGCTCGGCTGACACGGACAAGACTCGGTGTGGGACAGCCTGTTTTCTCAAGACCTCCCCGAGAGAGAGCGCAGAGATGTCCTGGCATCAATCTGAGAATCGCACCAGTGCAGTGCAAAAGGCAGTAAAACTAGCACATGTGCAGCATTTTGCAGATGACAGATACCATGGATAAAGACTACAGTGCATGTTGACTGACTGTTGTTGGTGTTGCGATTGTTGTCACTGACTGGTGCCGCCATTGAAAAGACATTTCACTTACAACTGTACACGACCAACAGTCGCAGGATAACGGTGCGTGTTGAAACGCGGTCAAACCGCCCTGTAGCGCAATGGTACTGATTGCAAACCGTGTTTTTATTGCTCCAAGTCCAGCTATCGACATCGCCGCAGGCTGCTAGACACATTACAAAATATTTTGTTGGCCACATGCATGCTACTGATTGACGTAGGCTTGAACTTCACGTCCACGACTGGGTCAACATTGAATTATTTACATGTACATGTACATGATGACTGTACACGTTTCTGGGCTTTCTGATGTTTTCTCTCTCTCAAGGTTAGTAAAAGAATTGTAATGGCTCCATCACTTGTAACCCAGCTTCGTTTAATTTCTCTATTGCATGACTAATCCATTCGTAACGGGACGAAATCTTGATTGAGTACGTTCGACTTGTGCACTGCAAATTCGAATTGGAGACTGAATCAGTGAATGCGCATTGTGCGCCCCACGCTATTCCAGAGCTTTGCTCCATACATTCTACATGTACAATGCACCACTCAGCACCAAACGAATGTCCGTAGATCTACGCCCACAGAGTGGAGGACAAAGACTGCAAAGGGTCAGTACTACTAACATGAATGCTCTCATTATCATACATGCACCGGTTTTTACTTTTGGCAGGCTGCATGCCTCTTGCTCTCGCCCACAAGTGATCGCATACGTCACCATCCGCAGTCAAAACACCATGCCAATGCTGACCTGGTGGCCGCGATGCGAAGGTCGCGGAATCCGCGAGACAGCTCAAGCTGGTCCGCATCGGCATGTATGGCACTTGACGTCAACAACCCCACTCAGAAAGTCGAAAGTCGCGGTACAGGTAGATATCTACATACAGATCTACCTGTACAAGATCTACATCTATCATCGATCTAGTAATCTCCACTCTCGTCGATCCCGGAGTCCAGCTGCTGGCAGATGAACAGATGAACCAAGCGCGAGTCCGAATGGGCCGGGTAGACGGACGGCTCTGCAGACCAAAGTCATCTGAGTGCATGCAGTGTATGTGTGCAGTGTCACGCACGTGAGAGGGGTCGATGCGATGCGTAGTCCCTTCAATCTTCATTCATCCGTGCTAGAAAGCCGCAACCCTGCCCTACTTCGAGCTTGCTGATCAGCGCATGAACGGAAGATAGCAGAAAAGACATAGAAGGCAATTATAAATACAACAGCGGGTCCAGCCTTCTCAATCAGTTACCCGAAAGTTCCGTGAAGAGATAAAAGCAAAGAAGCAGCCAGCGCCCCTCAGGAAGTACTTCAAGTGGACTATATTTGTGAAGTCACCGAAGCAATCCAAGTCAGAAGAAATGGACTCCTCTCCTAGCGACCAAGCCACTTTGTTTGAGAGCCGTTCGGCTTCGTTCACAACAACTTCGGATCTGGCACGTCGTCTTCGCAGTTTGTTGACTCCGCCACGCACCCGCCGCAGTCCTGACTGTACATCGTCGAGCGCTAGAAGTTCTCCGACTCACCTCTCCCGTGCTACAATCGCCACGTCCGCTCCCGCAACACGAAAGACAGTCATGGGTTGGGATGTGCCGGCGAAGAAGAGTCTGAAGCAGTGCAGGTCCTGCGATGATGTCGGTCGTCTTGAACACATCTTCGAGCCACGTATGGCTCCCTACACACCTCCCAACAACGTGTTCAGCAAACCGAACAGCGAAGATGCTTCACCCATTGAGCAGCAGCGCCTCGAGAAGCTGGAGTTCACGCTGTTCGAGCCCCGAAACGCGCCATGTACGCCACCGCTGGTACGGAGAGTAGCAAACAGCGACGGACTATCGTCGTCTCACTCCGACCTGACTGTACGACCCGCCAGCGTCACGGACGAACCGACACAACAACAGCCGATTTCCGGTGAGTTTTCATCGGAGAGTCTATCTTGTACAAAGCTTTGCCAAGCTATCAGTGTCATTTTACGTGACAAGGCACTCCAAGTGTATCGTTACGGTTGTGTATCTACACTTACTAGTATGTCAAGTCAGTTATGATCGTAGTTGTTTGGGGCTTGTGGTGGCGTATTTGGATACAAACTCGACCACTAATTCAAAGACCTCTCAGGAGAAACTGACTTTTGAAATGAATTGGCCGGGATTGGGCAGTGTGGTATTTGGAAGTAGAGCAGAAGGCAGAAGATGGGAAGCTACAGCAATACAAATGAATTCAAGCCATTGCATTGGTTGACAAACACAAAACTTTGTAGCTAATACCCCTATTACACTCTGAATTCATCATATCCATACAAATCTTTGATATACTAGCACAGCAAGCATAGAAAGCAGCACACACAGATACAGCATATTGCAACTGCAAGCATAGACTGCGGCTTGCAGAGACACAGGATTGCTTGATTGTCAGTTATTCTGGTCAGTTGGCATAAGAAAGGAGGCATTTCCACGGCAGTCATGCTAGTGGTTGTGCATAGCAGGTAATGATGTCATTAGTGCACCGCAGCACCGCAGCATGGAGTACTAGGAGTCAGCATGGGCTGTAGTCAATTAGTCCAAGTGGGCATCACTGCTAACCTCTCCAAAATTGGGTTTGTAGACAAGTGCATGAACATGGGTGGGCCTGCTGGGAGTAGGCAGTTTGCTGTTCCACCTTGAGATGAACTTGTGCTCAGGCAGCTTGGTAGCAAGGGCATTTGTGATGCCGCCCGCTCCATTTTAGGTTTAAGTATTCTGGGACATTTGGGATAAGTCCTGGATGGAGCATCTTCTGCCTTGAATTTCACACTACAGTCAGGATCCATTCAAGCATATCTACTCCTGGTCCGTTTGGAGATAGATAGACTGGTTGTGAGCCATGAATTTGTGCATTTTTGGTTTCTAGCTGCATCTAGCAAATACGTAATGGAGGTGATGAATTGCACAGAGTCTCTGGCACATCTGATGTGTTTCCGTGGTTCCGTATTGCAGTGAATAACGGAACTGACATTGAGTTCTGGAGCTTGTTGTTGCTAGCATCTTGGTGGGATAGCGTGTGATGAGATAACACCTCTATCTAAAACTAGCGACATCACGGATACGTTTGTGTAGTGTTTGCACATTACAGTTCAGGAAGTCAGTGCAGTCTAGAGCATCATGCTCTGCATACACACCGTGTTGATTCCATCTTGACTGTTTACACGGCGGATGTGCAGCTTGCATCAGTGTAAATATGACGGGGAAAAGAGTGGACTGAGATGTTGCCCATGTATTGTCATCGTTTGCTGTTGTTGTTGACTCCTTGTCCCTGAGTGGCGTCAGGCCGCTGTCAGAAACCTGTCAATCTGGGTACAGTGACTATGATAGGTGAAGATTGAGGTCATCAGACAGTTTGCATTGTCAACGCTTCCACCTGCGTGGAGACTTGGTGCCAGGGACGACGGGTGTACGGCTTGCACTCATGTAGCAGTGTCTGACAGTGCGAGATATGTATCCCAGTGCGTTGCCACAGCTACGTCATGCAGATCAGGATAACACTGGATTGTGTTCAGTAGTAGCGTGCTGTATGAAGACAGGCAGTGCATGATCTGGGATGACGTCTCCTGTGACGACTATGACTTGCGACAGTGCGAACTGATGCAACGCGAACTGTCATGGCGCGTGCAGAAGCTGCCAGTGTGGTTGACAACCACTGGCTGTAGATTGCATCAATAAAGGCTGGGGGCTTACATCAACCGGGGCTTGGGCCTACGTAGAGGACAGACTACGTGGAAGAAGGACTCCGGGGTAGCAGATACGTGGGCTTGACGATTTCGACATGACTTCAGGGTGTTGTCTGCCAGGGTAAAGGGCGCCTAGGTCTACATTCATTCGTATGAGTTCGCCCTTTGGTTGACGACCTGTCCACACAGTGGGAACAGGCAGTGAAGCGAACTCGATGTCTCGGCATGAACTCAGAGACCGTGGCGGGCCTGCCGGTGTGTCATTGTTTTGTACTGGGTATAGGGCATATTGGCAACTTGCCCTCTGCTACTTTGTTGCGTAAACCTGTGGTGAGACTGAGTCGGCAGCTTCTCCTACTGATGATGTGCTTTGAGGAACATGACACAGGCTGTTTGATGAAAGACGGTGCGATGCTAGAATTTTCCAGTTGCCTCTCAATAGTTCATTGTGAATTACTGACTTATGTCTGGCGATAATCAATCAAGTTTAGGAACTGACCCCTGCAATGGTTGTCATTCAGGGATTCTTTGTATTTCATCATTCATTGGGAGATCAACAGTTCGTGTTCTAAATGTGAAATCTTTTCCTATGTCCTGTGCCATTCTATGCAGCTCCTGTAGAGTCTTTGAAGCCCACGGTTGAGCAACTGCAGACTATCATGAGTGACCTGCGAGCAAGAGCTGAAGGTGAGGCATAATCTATGACCAAAAACTGTTACTCAATCAAGTGAACAGCCGCATAGTTGATTTTCAAGCAAATGGTAGTGTTAGTGGACATTTTAGCAAAGACGTGTAGCTCATTGCTGCTTTTCTTCACTATAATTATATTATGCTGTGGCTGAGATTCTTTTCTGTTGTGTATTGTGCTCAATACAGTCAGCAAACACTTTTACTTACTTATATGTGTTTGTTTTGGTGTGTGGCGGTATCGTCCGAGTAAATAAACACAGAAAGCATCTCTGTGCTAAATCACTGGTCACTGAATTATCTTTCTCTGTCCGTGTTTGCTCTTGTCCATAGAATCGTCAGCTAACTGCGCGAAACAAATCCAATCCGACACCGACAGCCAGCTTTCACTGCTCACTGTCCGCGAAGTCGAGAAGATTGCCTCGGTCGGCAGCACACAGAACTTCCAGCGCTCGTTCTCCGGCCGCTCGCATGCAAACCGATTCCTGGCACTCGCACCGCGCGCTCGCTCAGTGACCGTATGCTGAGTGTTCAGCGGCAGAAGGAAAACGAATTCCGATATGCAAGCAATCCTTGAGATCTACTCACCATCAATTTTGTGTATATTTGAGTATTTATGCGACCTCTAAGCAGTGTTTATCTCTACATCTATATCGTTGGCAGTTTCTGCCGTGATGCATGCAGTGATGCATGCAGTGATGCATGTTGTCCTGAGCAGATGTAAAAACTTTAATCTCTGCACATGCCATAATTATGTTCTGACTCGATTTCTTCGTACAAGAATTCAAATTTTATAATGATAGTACACAATCTGCGGACAGAACTGTTTCGTCCTTTGTGGACTCGTAATGATAGTACATGTAAACTGCGTAGCTTGCACGACTGTGTCAGAACACCAAACATAATGTTGGTGTGTAAAATCATAGCTCTACCTCAAGTAAGCCTATCAAGTGACTAAACTTTGAAATTCTAGTAAATATTCATATACTATGACATTGTCATGCTCTATTCAGTTGTTGATAAACATGTTCTCAAAAAACTAGTCTTTCTGAGTGGCATGGATTGAAAAGTAAAAGTTGGAGAGAAGTCCCAAGACTTCGTGCAGTTTCACAGGGCCGATCCATTCACGGGTTTCATGATTTGCCAAATGTGTTGTGACGTGGGCACAGAGATCGCTTCCATCGCGTCGCCATTCATCACTTCCTCTTACAGTTACAAGATTCTCTCATGAATTTTAGTTCTAGTTCTCACCATGAATGACACTCACAAGATCAGATTCTGGTCCTTAAGTAGTTAACGCCGTACAATGCCCTCGTACAACCCTGACGTCTGATCCTAGTGTGGCATCACTTTAATAATTATTATACTGACATTTTTAGTCGAGTGAGCCATACTCCCGGTACTGAGAGGCGGGTACACACCCTGTATGACAACTAACTAACGCCGTAACGGTTACTTTCGCATGTCTCACACCCAAGACGAAGCAAGTGCACATGTATTAATATTATCCATACTCATTACTGGCCGAAATGAAAACAATCAACCACAAAAATGACTCGGAAACTGCCACTACTGTATACCACTGAACTACATTGTACTATCACCTGTTAGTGCTGCTAGTGCTAGCAGTGAGCATAAACCATAATTATTATCAATGTAGTCTCCTGCACATATCCATTCTTCTAAAAGATGCCTGCTCAGCTCAGTTGTTGCTGCAGTGGTGTTTTCAATGGAACCGCTTCGGAGATGGAACTGATACTGTGGATGAATGAACCTCTGCGCCTTTTTTACACACCTTTCATATCTTTGTTGATTATCAACGACTGGTTACGTATCATACATGACGGTCACGAGTTCCGCGGTCCTCAAAGCCTCCGACTAATACTTGTAACTTACTTTGAAGGCTATGGCTGGGTCAGGTCTCGCCAGGAGTTGCTCAATACACAGTGTTTCGGGGAATTCACCCCTCATCAGTTGAGCTTGAGTAGGCTGAGGAAGATTGTGCCTGAAGAGCACCACTTATACAATGAAGAGTGCTGTCCAGGCACAAACATCACCAGGGATACAAAATTACAAAGACACTCCGTTTCCAGCGCGACAAACACCTCGTGAACACCAGATAGCAGCGTCTCTACGTCTGTTCTCACCGTCCAGGAGCGATAACTGACTCACGCTGCTATCTGGTGTTCACGAGGCATTTGTCGCGCTGGAAACGGAGTGTCTCTGTAAGTATGTATCCCTGGTGATGTTTGTGCCTGGACAGCACTACATGTACATGTATATAAGTGGTGCTCTTCAGGCACAATCTTCCTCAGCCTACTCAAGCTCAACTGATGAGGGGTGAATTCCCCGAAACACTGTGTATTGAGCAGAGAGTGGTGCTTTCTTGCAGGTTGGCAGAGTCGAAGGTTCGATGGACTTCTCGTGTTCTCTGGATGGCAGTCGTGAGTCAGTCAAGTGTCAAGTCGTTGGCGGAATAGCGCGAGCTCCAGTGTGGGAGCAAACCCATTCCTAAACAAAATCATCCCCGAAGTCGCAACCTCTATTTCGTAGTAATACTGACCTCATTGAGCCTAGGCTAGGGGTTGAGTTCATTTTTGCCTCCCGGGTGCAATGCTTGAGTGCTTTTCTTTCTTTGCATCAGCATTTCATGCGGTCAATAAAAACACGCTATCACGTCGCTTCCAAGTACATGTACGTATATACTGTGTTGCTGAGGTGCTGTAGGCATTGGCCGCGATCAGGGACTATTACAAAATCCCACGGCCGCCTTGGGACATCACCAGCCTCGTCTACAGAGAGCACCTCCATGCGACAGTGTGATGGCAGCAACTTGTGTCAGCTGACGAGCTGAGAGAAGGACGCCATGGGCAGAAGTTGGAGAAATAAGGAAAAGAATCAAAAGAATTAAAAATAACTTTCTTGGAGACAGGAAGCTTATCAGGGAAAGAAAAACTACAAATCTCAAACTATTCTACACATCATCAGCAATAAGGACTCCGAATTTCAAACTGGTTCATGACATTCGGAGTCCTTACTGCTGATGATGGCGAAGCTTGAGATTTGTAGTTTTTCTTTCCCTAATAAAATAAAAAGAAAGAAGAACAATTCAGGAGAGATGCTACAAAGTTTTACAGGATTGAGTCCGTGAGTTACAATTAAAAGAAGACATCCAAGAACGAACGAAGAATACACGACTGACAGTACAGTGTACAATCACAAACAAACAAAAGAACAAGAAGACTCAAACAACTCCCTAGTACATGTATAATGAGGGTCAGAACCAGGGCTAACCCCCATACGGTTCAAATGGTCGCAAGACCGGGGCACTGCCAACCGTGGATGGTGGTGCTAAAAGAGGCACGGTTTCCGAACAATGTGGTCCTCCGCCTTGTAACATGCTGCCAACCCCTATAAATATGTATTCAAATACATGTACCTCTATAGTTCAATAATTAGAGTGATATCTTTGACTTACCCTTTTTGCTCATCCTTGCAGCTACATGTAGGCGCTGCGTCTGCCACCTTGGGACATACATGTACATGTATCTGGCATGGCAGGAACTAATTCCTTGTGACCAAACGGGTCCTAGTACCCCCAACCCGGTCGCTGACACGGCCGACCCGGCTGTAGGCTCCCGCGGATTATGCTCGCAAAATCATGGAATTATGCTGTCTTGGATTCTCGCATTATGCTCGCGAAATCCTCATATTATGCTTTGGCACGCGGGATACATATTTACTTTGTGGTACTTATGGAGCCTCAAAGTATGGAAAATTGTGCGTTTTCGTACTTGCAAGTGGCCATAACTTAAAGTGCAACAAATGTTACACGAGTATCTCTATACCAAGGTGTCCATGCATACTAGAGATCAACATGGAAAAGAGAAAACAGTCAATACTCTTCTATTCATTTGTTGACTTCTTTTGTAAAAAGATGTTTCATTGGGAAGTAATTTTGAGTTACATGTACATGTACCTTTGAAAATTATCATGTTCAACTGTCTTCATAATCGTCATACTCGTCCAGCCGATGTCACCCTCATCCTGCGAATAATCAGCTCACCTCTCCCGTAGCTAGGTGTTGGCGGATAATGCCGGCATTACATCGAGCATTATACACCACCCGGAGCATTACGAGCATTATAAAGCATTACGAGGCCAAAATGGCATTATACGACGTTCTACATGACTACGTAGTAGATCTACACAGATCCTCATGTACAGATTCGTATCGGCTATAGCGTTGGTCTTTGATTGGCAACATTTATTACTATACGCGATGTATTTTAAATAGTCTACAAGTACAAGCGATAGACCACCGCACACATCATGCATGGTACCAAACAGATTGTGGCACGCAGTGCCAGGCCCAGTATACTGCATGCAGTATAGTGCTAGCTAGCTGTGGTCCAGCACAGTGTGGAAACTCTCGCAGAAACTTCCGGTCCCGGAAGTCTATCTTCGGCCAGCAACTAACTTACTTTTTGAAGATCCAGGTAACAACGCCGAACCAACGAAACAAATGTGAGCCAGCATGGAACGGTGGAGGTGCGCACACGCACACATTCCAGACCTTACCCGGTTACCGTCCACAATGTTACAAAAAACATTTTTCATCGAAGCAAGAGTCCACGTCTTTGTCGAAGAGTAACGCTGGACTTTCACCGGACATTGACCATTGTGTAAGACCAGCTAACTAGCAGCCAACGCTGATGGCTGACTCGCCGCGATGCCGTTCTTGGGATTGGGAGGAAGCTGGGCTTTCTCCAGATGAGCTTTTGGCGGAGTCCTCTGATGATAGTGACGTCGTCGAGTTGGAAACTGCAGATCCTGCCGCGATAGCGAGGAAGCGGTCTTTTCAGAAAACAGCTATTACCAAGTCTGTGAAAATGTTTCCAAAAGGACGCGAGTAGCTCATGGACAGAGCACTGAAGTGGCCATCAGTGCCGAAACACGGGTGCGGAGTCGCTCAAAAGCGACTGTGGCAAGTAGTTAGTGTGCCTGGCATGCCATACAACATTGTCAGGGAAGAAGAGTATAATCATGTCCCATATTGCTACCGCGAGACACAAACAAGGAAAGTCCCGTTTGGAGAGGGAAACTCAGAGGCAGAAGCTGGTCAAGGAGTCCTTCTTGGCGTATCAGAAACGACTTGGGAAGGCTCTAGCCGGCACCGGTCTTACTGAGGCCGTTAGTTAAGCCGAGTCTCTGCGGCGGATCCAGATTCTGCGTTCTATGTTGCATAGCATGGGTGCAATATTATAGCGTTTTTCTTAGCCCGATACCGCAAGGTTCAGGAGTTTATATTCCATCCGGCGGAGCATTATCAGCATTATTTGGAGCATTATATGTCCTTTTGTGGAGCATTACTGAGAGCATTATATCCCATATTACTGAGCATTATCCGCCAACACCTACCCGTAGCTCCACCTCTCCTTCCGTCATGACCGAGCATCAACTATACCTCAACTTTCTATTTTTATCAGAGCAATATCCATAGCCTGCACAGTCATGGCTGCTAAAATCCAGAGCTACATGTAGGTCATGACTCCTAACAATGTCATGCATAATGTACAGTCACGTACGCGGAGTTTTGCGGACTACCCGTCACTACTATGATCTCATCCGCCCCAGGATACCTGAAAAAGGCTGATTCACTCGCATCTTCTGCCACATGTACTGTATCAGGGTTTCATATTTTTTACTAGGGCAGTCCCCACAGACCTAGGGTGAGAAAGAACTTTGAAAAAGACGAGTTCAAGCATACGATAATGACTGTATTGCCATGATTCCTACCCTGCTTTTCATGGAAAATACTATCTCCAAACCCTTTACCATGGAGCTCACCAGCACTGATCAGGTGCATTGTACACAATTGTATAGCCTTCATACTAGAACTGTGGTAAAATCGTGTAGTTATGCTCCTACCTCCGAACGGATGCCAAATTATGCTCCAAATTTTCAACCACCAAATTATGCCAATAATTATGCCGGCATAATCCGCCGGTGCCTACGCTGGAGCAGACACTGCAAAGTTGAAGTAAGTAGTTGGGTGAGTCGGAGTCAGAGAAGTGAGTGACGGTCTGTGAAGGTGACATCGCAACACCAAAACCGACCGGACGCGAAGGATACAAATAATTTCACTTTGTTCTGTGCCTACATGCAGGCCTGTATCAGACTCATGGTTTGTTGTGGACGCGCGTGTTCTTTCTCACGGACGTAAGTCGCAAGACAGGCGTTCACAAACCACCTTTTGCCAGAGGGCCCATGAACTGGACGGCTTGTACAGCCTCCTGCCGAGATGGTCAAACAGCTGAAACATTTTTGGACAGTACCTACGGAGACGTGATGCTCTGTGCAATTTAACTTTGTCAAAACTAGCGCTTTCTACAGTTTGAGCAGGGGCTTGTGTGATTCTCCTCCCCACGGTCGCTCATCAGGAACGCGTTCCTCACGTGTCGTGTGCAGTTTTACGAGGTCGATGTGACACTCGAAGCAAGAGTTAGCATCGAAGTAGAACACTCCACAGCTCGCCTTTTGTTGACAACTCTTTCCTGAACTCACACAACTAGAATAAGGCGCACCACCGCCACGACATTGGCCTCCGTTGATCTTCATCGTCCTGGGAATGTGGTCGATTCAAGTTGCTCCCAGAGCGCGCCAGTCAAGCCTTCATTTCGCACCCTGACCCGCAGTCTGGGCCGCAGAATGCTTCGACCTCTCTCATGCATCAGGACACATAGATTTTGTACGTCTGAAGAAAGTGAAGTACATGCTGCACGGATCGAGGATTGAGTGAAATCAGCCGCATATCTTGCATATTTTGGAAATCACGACAAACTCCACAGTCATTTTGTTCTCCTTCAAAATTCTCGTAGTCTTCTGTTCACCCAAATGTTTTCCTACTGCTGCTGCCGAAATTTCGAATGGAAATTCGATCAATTGGTGTACAATATCGAAAAAGTAAATCGTGGAAACTGAAGATTTTTCAGTTTATGACCATGATCTTGTGACGGCCACCATTCCTTTCTTCCCAGAGTTTCTGGGAAGCACCATGTTCTGTTTTTATCCACGACACGCGTTTCCATTGCACTGGTCCCTTTGGAACTTCGGCGTCCCACAGTAATTAATCGCTCGGCTAACGGTAGAGATGTCAGTACCGCTGTCAGGATTCGTCTCAAGGCGATGCAGCGTTGAACGCAACAGCCCTGCTGCGGGCCAGTACGCAGCACTTGCTGCAACAGCTCTCCGCTCGTGTTCAACTCCGCTGGTGCATTTCAATGGAATGTCCGTGGACCTATCGCCGTTCCATGGTCCCTGCTCGCAGCCGTTCCTCGGAAAGGTCGAGGTAACTGACCTCCAGATGCTTGTAATGGAGAGAAAATGAAGGAAGCCTCATTCGTAAACCACAGATAAGCCGTTCAAGGACAGATCCACCCTCAGCTGGCTCGATAAACTCGGGAACGGAGCAACGCAAAAGTCCTGTGGCGGAGTCGTTCGGAATGTCGCAGCTTCTCGCTATTTGTCTTGCGGCCGTAGCACTTGTGTGCGGGCCCGTTGAAGGTGAGCAAGATTTGCCTAACGTTTGTCGGGGATAGTCGACAAATTTGAATGACGGGAAAGGTTTTGCCCTCTGGAGGCGCGATCTTACTTCGAACACCCGGTCAACTTCGGAATTTGTTTGCATACACTTCAGCGTTCGTGAAACACACACACATATTATTCTCAGGCCCATGAATAGGGAAATTAATTGTCAGGTTTCCAGTCGAACTGGCTTGTGGACAGGTATCGTCATCATTAGCCAGGTAATATAAAGCAACATAGTTTGAAAATCAAAGACAGCGCCAACACCAGAGGCTGCATTGCACGTCAAAGCTACGAATGCCCGCAGCAGGAGGTCTGAGTAAGAGGGCTCGAATCTGAACCCAGCGAAGTTCATTGACAAAACCTCTGCTTGGTATATGTCTCTGTCACATTGTCAAAACTAGTAGTGAGTTGGCTGTGATACAGAGAAGAACTTTGGTTTGTGTACAAATATTTTGAAAACAGTTAGGTTTGATCATTGTGAAGAGGATCCCTTTGCCGCAAAGTGATGCTGACATTTTTACAGTTGTTTTCCCTTCAATCAGCAATGGACCGATGAGATAGGCGATGCCGATACATCGTGAACTGTTAACTCTATCACCAGTGATCGGGCATAGGGGTTAGGACCTGACGTCAACAAATCTTCATGGGGATCTGTTCAAATCTAACGTGGTGAGCTCAGAAATGATAAGAGATGCAGGCAACCGATCCGCCACTGGATAAATCCAAGTGTTTCCACAAGGTGTCTCTTTGGACCAGCCATGCCGGTAGACTCTTGGAGAACATCTTGGATAGCTCCCAGTGGGTGAAGAAAAGCATGTGGCATTGGTGTAAGGTATCACATTCATATGTCAGTACTGGACAGCCAGTGTGCATGTTACGTTCTCTTACCTGAGCAGGTGTGGGGAGATGAAGGCATGCAGACAGTTATTGCGAAAGTCCATTACGGCAAGAAGCCTATAGTTAGTTTATGGTGATAGTAAGAGAGATACGGCATTTCGGATCTAACCACCCACTAGCAATGCAGCCCTGGCAATGCTAGCACCGGGATGTGCAGTGAAGGCAGTAGCTCTGCAGTCGCTGCTCATATGGCTGTATGTCACATGCTGCCACTTTATAGTATTCACTGTACATGCAGTCTACAGGTGACCCTAACCGGCTTTCCTGCATGACTGACTGACAGACCCACAGTTCACTGCCTCCCACGTGGACAGCATCATATCCCGTACAACCCACCCATCCACTGCAGCACCTACATACAGTCTTGGACAGTCCGGTTCACTGCAGTTTGCATGCAGGTGAAGGAGCTAAGCCTGGCTGATACAGTGGGTCTCTCTGAAGAAAAAATTGACTGCCAATAATATGTATATACACATTTCGGCCTGATAAACTGCGCACACCAGAAAACATGTAGGTACAATGTTCCAATGAAGATATCAGTGATTTAATGATTTAACTTTCAAAACACATAATAGTTATATTGGTACATTACAGAGTGTTTTCAATGAGTTAAGATTTAGTTAGGCATCGAGTTGCGAATCTCTTCCACAATGTAAGTTATTGACCGCATCACTTGGCACTAGGAAGACTCTCGACATGGCAAAGTAAAATAATTATGTGAATGTGATGGCACCACATGCAGTAGCCTGTACAGGACAGCCTGATCGTTGCAGAAACAGAGTTTATCTGCCATTGAATAAACTCATGGAGAAATGTATATATCTGCGATCTAAATTCCAGCCATCCTTCCCACCCTGTGGCTTATACTGTGGCTGTTCTGTCAGCACAAATTTATTCAATATTTGAAATTGAGTTTACCTCGCACAGGGTGAGATCTGGACAATGAAATGATAAACATGGAAAACACAACATCAATGTGCGAATGAAATTAGAAACTACAAAAATTCTGTTCTGACCCTATGGATTGCAGCAGGGTTCTAGCCAGGAAATATTTGTTGGGGGGGGGGGGGGTGGGGGAGGTGGGGGTTGGTGCAAAGGAAAACAAACAGTTCATATATTTTCATGTTCCAGTACATGTATTGCCTTGTCATCCAGAAATGGTACATATGGGTGCAACAAGCACCCGGAATGATCAATTTGCGGCACCTTTTTCGTTGTGTGAACTAAAAACAAACAATATTCGAAAACAATGAGTGTTCTATCAGAGTAGAGGGGAGGGGGGGGGGGGGTGTTGCGCCTCCTATCCTCCCCTACTTTGGCAAGAACCCAGGATTGTTGTCAGCTTGTGCCCCTCGGCATCTTCTCTTGCATTTTCTTGTCAGGTTGTTTCTTTCCTCCTTTGTATTGTCTGATTATGCGCTGTTTCAAACATCGGTGTTTGACTTCAAATCATTCCCCCTCACAAAGGCATATGAGCTCCCATAGCTCAGTCGGTTAGAGCGTCGTGCTAATAACGCGAATGTCGCAGGTTCGAGCCCTGCTGGGAGCACGCTCTTTTTTTCTTCACCTTTATCTCCCCTACTTTGGCAAGAACCCTGGATTGTTGTCAGCTTGTGCCCCTCGGCATCTTCTCTTGCATTTTCTTGTCAGGTTGTTTCTTTCCTCCTTTGTATTGTCTGATTATGCGCTGTTTCAAACATCGGTGTTTGACTTCAAATCATTCCCCCTAACAAAGGCATATGAGCTCCCATAGCTCAGTCGGTTAGAGCGTCGTGCTAATAACGCGAATGTCGCAGGTTTTAGCCCTGCTGGGAGCACGCTCTTTTTTTCTTCACATTTATCTCCCCTACTTTGGCAAGAACCCTGGATTGTTGTCAGCTTGTGCCCCTCGGCATCTTCTCTTGCATTTTCTTGTCAGGTTGTTTCTTTCCTCCTTTGTATTGTCTGATTATGCGCTGTTTCAAACATCGGTGTTTGACTTCAAATCATTCCCCCTAAGGCCTCGGTCACACTACGGCAAAAATGCTGCGTCAGCGTCAGAATCATGAGCTTTTCCATGGCAACTGACGCAACGCGGGAAGTTTGAGCGTCAGACGCTGCTGCGTCTGACGTGGGGAAATCGGCTGCGTTGCCGCTGATGGGAGTGACGCTTGGCGGAAAAACAGTGTCTTTCAAGTAAAATTAGTTTCAAGACACTTTGCTTGAGTTGAGCAGTTATTCGACATTCGTCTCTTCAAGGTTTGTTTTGTTCCCTCTTTTTGTTCGAGATGAGTCCGTGGACCTACGAGGCCGAGGCTGCTCTGCTCCGAACCTGGCGGAAGAGCGAGGCATTTTCTGAGAAGAAAATGATGTCGAGAAAGGACCAGTTGTTTGAGTGGGTCATCGGCCAACCGGAGCCTGTTGACTTGTGAGTGTTGTGTTGTCGTCAAGAGCCCCAAAAAGGACAACCAGCATGACGAAGTCAGGAGAAACACAGCTGCGATGCGGACTTTTCTTGCCTGATCTATGACACTACAACTGAAAATGGCTTCAAATTCAGAAAGAAACAACAACGATCGTGCACGAGTGGACCTTTCGTCTTCTTGTAATCAAAAATCAATGACAAATTTGAAAACTTTGTCCGACAATTTTTTTGGTATGATAAGCAAAAGGCCGGTTTCCGTGGGAATCCGTGTCGTCATTGAGTTTCCCTGGTGATTTTGTGACGTAGACAAATGCGTCAGGCCGCGGCAGTCATGAGCTGCAAAAAAAACAAAACACTGTGTGACCCCGCGTCTGCGTCAAGTGCTGCGGCTTGACGCTGCGTCCAGCTTCAAACTGCCGTAGTGTGACCGAGGCCTTACAAAGGCATATGAGCTCCCATAGCTCAGTCGGTTAGAGCGTCGTGCTAATAACGCGAATGTCGCAGGTTCGAGCCCTGCTGGGAGCACGCTCTTTTTTTCTTCACATTTATCTCCCCTACTTTGGCAAGAACCCTGGATTGTTGTCAGCTTGTGCCCCTCGGCATCTTCTCTTGCATTTTCTTGTCAGGTTGTTTCTTTCCTCCTTTATATTGTCTGATTATGCGCTGTTTCAAACATCGGCGTTTGACTTCAAATCATTCCCCCTAACAAAGGCATATGAGCTCCCATAGCTCAGTCGGTTAGAGCGTCGTGCTAATAACGCGAATGTCGCAGGTTTTAGCCCTGCTGGGAGCACGCTCTTTTTTTCTTCACATTTATCTCCCCTACTTTGGCAAGAACCCTGGATTGTTGTCAGCTTGTGCCCCTCGGCATCTTCTCTTGCATTTTCTTGTCAGGTTGTTTCTTTCCTCCTTTGTATTGTCTGATTATGCGCTGTTTCAAACATCGGTGTTTGACTTCAAATCATTCCCCCTAACAAAGGCATATGAGCTCCCATAGCTCAGTCGGTTAGAGCGTCGTGCTAATAACGCGAATGTCGCAGGTTCGAGCCCTGCTGGGAGCACGCTCTTTTTTTCTTCACATTTATCTCCCCTACTTTGGCAAGAACCCTGGATTGTTGTCAGCTTGTGCCCCTCGGCATCTTCTCTTGCATTCTCTTGTCAGGTTGTTTCTTTCCTCCTTTGTATTGTCTGATTATGCGCTGTTTCAAACATCGGTGTTTGACTTCAAATCATTCCCCCTAACAAAGTCATATGAGCTCCCATAGCTCAGTCGGTTAGAGCGTCGTGCTAATAACGCGAATGTCGCAGGTTCGAGCCCTGCTGGGAGCACGCTCTTTTTTTCTTCACATTTATCTCCCTACTTTGGCAAGAACCCTGGATTGTTGTCAGCTTGTGCCCCTCGGCATCTTCTCTTGCATTTTCTTGTCAGGTTGTTTCTTTCCTCCTTTGTATTGTCTGATTATGCGCTGTTTCAAACATCGGTGTTTGACTTCAAATCATTCCCCCTAACAAAGGCATATGAGCTCCCATAGCTCAGTCGGTTAGAGCGTCGTGCTAATAACGCGAATGTCGCAGGTTCGAGCCCTGCTGGGAGCACGCTCTTTTTTTCTTCACATTTATCTCCCCTACTTTGGCAAGAACCCTGGATTGTTGTCAGCTTGTGCCCCTCGGCATCTTCTCTTGCATTTTCTTGTCAGGTTGTTTCTTTCCTCCTTTGAATTGTCTGATTATGCGCTGTTTCAAACATCGGTGTTTGACTTCAAATCATTCCCCCTAACAAAGGCATATGAGCTCCCATAGCTCAGTCGGTTAGAGCGTCGTGCTAATAACGCGAATGTCGCAGGTTCGAGCCCTGCTGGGAGCACGCTCTTTTTTTCTTCACATTTATCTCCCCTACTTTGGCAAGAACCCTGGATTGTTGTCAGCTTGTGCCCCTCGGCATCTTCTCTTGCATTTTCTTGTCAGGTTGTTTCTTTCCTCCTTTGTATTGTCTGATTATGCTCTGTTTCAAACATCGGTGTTTGACTTCAAATCATTCCCCCTAACAAAGGCATATGAGCTCCCATAGCTCAGTCGGTTAGAGCGTCGTGCTAATAACGCGAATGTCGCAGGTTCGAGCCCTGCTGGGAGCACGCTCTTTTTTTCTTCACATTTATCTCCCTCGTAAAATGACCCATGTGTGCGTGCTATGCTCAATCTTCCAGGAATACGCACTCGCTTCAACTCGACATGCATGACCGACATGCTGGGTTCGTTTGGTCTCGAGCGCCACACGGTTCGCATTTACGAGAAGAAGCTCGGCGATGGCAAAGCAGACATCTATACGCTGCGCAGCAAGCCGAGTAGAGCAGTGATGATGCTGGAGCGTTACGGCATCTTTGAGAGTGCCGAGAGAGCCAGGTTGCTTCTTTGTCTCACAGCGGGGCAGCAAGCATTCGGTAAGGGTCACTGCTAGCTGCAAACGCTCCTGCTGTTGTGTCTTTCAGGTACTGTCAGATCTCACTTATCTGGTCCTCTTTTATCCGGATCCCTCGCTATCAGGAAGAAAATAGCTGGTTACAGATTTACAGCATCCGTGGTGCACCCACTGGACATAACCAGTGTTCGGTTATCCGGTTCCCTCGCCTATCCGGATATTT